GAAAAACAATCTTCGAAGATCGTAGCTGTAGCATGGTTTGCTACGCGTCGTAGATACTCCCTGGAGCTTCCGTAGCAAACGCTACGGTTGTCTATCGCCGCATATATACGACGAGTTGCACATTTTTATTTCCCGGTGATGTGAATTTCTTGTGCTGAATTGCAAATGCTAGTAGTTACTAAGCATGGTTTATTGGCATTATAATTAAAATATATACGTATATTGCTTTTATAATAAAAACGTATATATTCTGCTGGTACAAACAATGCCTGAATTATAAAGGCTAATAAAAAGGAGCAACCACCATGACCTAGGGCTGCCAAGCGTGGAAATATATTCTTTGTACTAGTGAAGAAAAAATTTATAAGTGCGTACGAATTCATAACATAATATTAATAATGTTATAATTAATTAAATTAAGGAATGGAACTCTGAACCGAACAAGTGTAATGTATAATGAAAAGGGTTGGAATAATTAAAACATCTTTAGTCGTGGGACTATTGTAAGTAGGTGGTGATGAAATATGCAGTTGAATCGCATATTACGTCGTATGCGGAGGCGATGTATGAGGGGGCGGACAGCCACTCACCGCTAGATTATAGGTATAGGCACCGACACTGAAATGTTGATCATATAATTAGTTAGATTCTTACACGACTAACTGATTTTTAAAAAAGTTATTCTTTCAGAATAATGTTAATATCGCATAGAAAAAGTATATAATAGTAAGACAGTAGTTTTTTCTGTATATTACAAGTTATTTTTTACTATCGGAACTCCGCTAGTTACACGGCACAGATCAATATGAATACGATCTTCAAACATTAAAATTACTGTAATCCCGTATCCCCCCAGAGACACACTCCACAACCCGTATCTTTTCAATAATTTAATGATTTTCTTTTGTACTTACGTATGTTCCACAATATTTCTTTTCTATTGTTTGGAGGACGGATTTTGACGATGTTTTTTATCCAAGTACCGTAAACTTGAACGTTTCGCTCCTATAAATATTTTTCTCAGTAAAATGGATTTACTGCGAAAAATTGACACGCCATTGACACTGTCTACTACTTTCGTCTAGATATGAGTTTTATTTAAAACTTGAGATATTTGTTGTTATTTGTGCACATACATAATACATAATACATTATATGTGTCGCGAGGCCGCCGGCCGCTGCGCTAATGGCCGTTTTGTGTCTTGAGATTAATCATTCGAATATTCAATTTATTTTAAATCGATTGTTTCTATTTGCGGTGATGCATCAAATGGTCACTCTATATATAAATATAACATCCAGAATGTTAGTATTGATCCGTATTATGCGAGAGAGTATTATTAATTTACTAGAAATTTATAAAATAATAATATATCATTATATCTACAAAGTAGGCATTGATAGCAACATGCATACTCAACTACAATGTTGATAAAAATATTATTATTGCTTATTACATTTCATTAATTTTATATTCAGAATGCTATACTAAACTACTGTCTTACTATTATATGTACGCCGGACGCCCATGGATATTTCTATATCTTATGCTCTGTTATTTTGATCACATGTATTATAGAATAATTTTATCTAACTAAAGTATATTTTCATTTGAAATGTTGTTTTTTATTTGGCGTAAATAAAGCTGTTCTTATTACGACTTTGCTAGGACAAAGTGCCTTTGAACGGGTTACGCCTGTAACCTAGATTTTACTTAGGCTTCGAATGCGGATTAAAGAGGGTAGTAGGGGGGATTGGTGGCAGGGCATCGGGATGTTGAAATGGTGTACCGCATATAGCAATATAATGATGTTTGATTTGTTAACCTAGTATTACGTAAGTTTATAAATAACCATAATATTGTTGTGCCACTTATATCGAATGATAAACGTCTAGTCGGAGGATTCAGTTAAATGTCCGCTTGTATTGTCTTCTGAATTCAATGCCAATATTTGTTTTTTAATAGTCAAATTATTTTATGAAACAGGAGATTTGTCTGGCTCTTATATAACGTTTCTCTGGTTTGACTGTAAACACAATGAAGATAAAATATTTCAATAGAAAAAGAAAAGTACCTACTTCAAATGTTAACAGTCAACTGTCAGGCAGACCAATGTTTCGATAAATCTTTTTTTTTTCATTTATAAGAGTAAACAAATAGTGACAATTTGAAATATAGTTAAAAATAGAAATATATAATAAATTTCATATAATAAATCTGTCGAGGATTTGTGCTACTATGGTAATGTTCAACTTAACGTCGTAATTATTGAGCGATTCGTTTTGTAAAAGGCTTTTTCCCAATTGAGTTACAGACGTGGTCACGTGTCGAATGTCTTAGCTCTCTCTCTCTCTCTCTCTCTCTCTATCAGGGATCATATATTAGAAAGCGTCTATTGTACTATTATTATGTAAACAGTTCATTATATCGCTCTCTATAAACAGTTAGGTAAATTACATTAGTGCTGATAAATATAGTCCAGGCGAACTAGGGATTGGAACCTCATCTCCTTTCAATCTGCTCCCTCGAATGTGGGTCAAAGTGGGGGCGCGGCTGAGGGGAACAGGCGTTAGGGGTCCGGAGGGGGGCCTGCTGGGAGAAAAGGTGGGGAGGTGGTTTATTTTTGGCCGTCTATATTTAGCCCGATGAGCGACCGGGTCGCTAAGGACGTCCTTCGAATTGTTTCTTTCGAAAGCGCGTACCCGTGCCGACCTCGCCCTTATCAAGCCGTTTATGAACGTTTACAGAATTAAATTTATAAGAATATCAATGTGACTCCTTCAAATACAATAGTGATACGATTATGGCCATCGATGTATTGAAATTAGTGGTAGTTAATTAACGTGAGCGTTCGCATAACACTTGCCGGAATATATATTTGTTTTGCTAAAAACGTGGCAATGATAAATACAATGTTTGTTGAATAATGTAGTGGTCGTATGTTTACACAATTGGACTAAAACATATATCATTTTTAGCATTGAACTGACTAAGTATGTGTATAGAATTTAAAATTGATAAAATATAGCCTTGGGCGAACTTTGATCCGTCGGTAACTGTGGTTTGAGATTTTTAGTCATTTTTAGTAATAATAAAAGCTTCATATTTCTAAGTGTAACTAAATATATCCAATATAAAAAAATAATTTAGGTTCCGTTCAAATTCAATGATATTTAATTACTCCTCGTAATTATATTTTTATTTTATAGTCATCGACTTCAATGACATACAATGCCAGCATCAGAGCGACCACGGCGGTCGTGCGTGATACTCACGAATTCGCCACCTGGAATTTCATCTAATAAAATGTTTCTGTTTTGGTTTACACAACTGTCATGCCTCTATCTTTACTGAAGACGTAGTAATGACGTTTTTTTTTTCAAATTTAAAACGGGTAGCTGTCGACTCTTGATTTTAATCCAGCCCAAGGGCCTGAATGAGATCTAGCTCTGTTACGATTTCATGCTTAAATCGTCCGATAAAATAGTGAAGTAGGTGTTGAAATTTTTATGATGAATAATTCGTTTACCTAACATTCTTATGCGCAAATAGTACCTTTATTTAGATATTAAATTACCTTGTCATGTTTATACTATTTCACGCAGACATCACGGGCTAGTCTTTGATATTAGTATAGATTACTAATATTAGAAAGAAGAGAGATATATCGTATGGATTCCGAAACTACTGACCGATTTTTTAATTCCGTGATGTGGATATACGGCATTATTTTAGTACAAAAACCTTTTCCATACTGCCCATTATTTCGTTTCACGTATTAATTATATTCATATAACACATATTAATAACTTCATAGTTACTTTATGTGTCCGTTTGGTATATGCAAATGTATTGTAATAAAAAGTCGTAAATCTGTGTCCCGGTGACAATATAATTTATTATTAGTGCCGTAACTCTTGGACTCGTTAACTCGAGCCATTTGATACCAGTTTTATGGCAGGTTTTAATTTACCAAAGTTCCGGCTGATAATTTAACATAGACTTTAAATTGGTGACTATTTAGTACTTTAGAGATTCGTGACCGACAGGGTCCTTAGTGTGACTAACTAAACTATGTAACATTATTTTTAACTAGCTTTCGCCAGCGGCTTCGCCCGCGTGGACCCTAGGGAAATGTTAAGTGGGATAAAAAGTATCCTATTATCTAAGTCAGCTAATAACCTATCTGTATACCAAATTACATCAAAATCTGTCCAGTAGTTTCGGCGTGATTGACCGACAAACATCCAAACAAAGAAACTTTCACATTTATAATATTAATATTTAATAATATTTATTAATATTAATATAATAATCCTAAAGGATGACCTATGCAAACAATAAACTTAGTGAGTATCGAGTATTACTGACACAGATTATTTATTTAAAAATACCACATAACATATGAAAAATATTACTACGTCTGCACTCAAAGCGAAACTAAAATTAATAAAAGCATTCGTGTACGTGATTGGTAGTAGGTAGTATGATTCGATAAACTTTTGTGTAAATAAAAATTTAACACGTTTTTATCATAACTTATTTTAAAGTAGACACAACGGCGCTTATTTTGAGCTCTACTTAGAATTGCTTTAAGTACTTAAACTTTATTAAATTAATGATTCATGCTGATTGCTATTGAATGTACGTGGTTTCAACTATTATTGGTTTGTATCTCATTTAAAAAGAGATTTGTTGTTAGTTAACATATTTCAGAAATAAAACACTTATTAATTATTACCTACTAAATTATGCAATCACAGTGATTTTCGATATTTATGTTATAGAAAAATAATAAAAAGAAAATTTAAAATCTCAGATGCCCGAAACGGCACTAGAACTTGAACGTCACCTGTTGCTAACCGAATGACTGCTCTACAAATTTAGTTTAGTGAAACTGACTTAGTAAAATTGCTCAACCAGTCGTCTCGGCCAAACACTATTATTCATTTTCAATATAATTTATTTTATTTAATAAAATTATAATGTGGTGTTACAGAGATGGCTCATGAGGGTGGCGGTGCGGATGGGTCGCCGCAGCACACGCCATCGCCGCCGCACGCGCCACGCCTCCCCCTAGCAGACACCAGCTTCCATCAACAGATCATGCAGGTTAGTTATACAAATACGTCACTTCGTAAATGCATAAGTAAAAATTGTTTACAAAGGGTCTACGACCATGGCACTTTGGAGACTGGTTTGGATTTCAGCATATTTGATCGATACCGGACCTCCCAGTAGATGGGAAATTTTTTGTACTTGTATTATGATCCCTTATTTTTAATGTAATTTGTACAAGGGAAGTATACTCTCATCTCGTGACGATTTGAATAGATATTCACATAAACTAAAAGATTATTTTATCATCAAAGATAATTACCAATTACATTTAATCTCCTGTCGTTTTATAGACACTAGGCTATAGTGGCAAATCATAACAAGTGGGAATTTCTGAAATAATCCCGCTCAAATTATTCACCTCCAATCTTGCTTCCTCAGAATATGTATCGATAGGGGAAAACCAGGAGATTGACCAGGCGGGAAAGTAGCTCCACAACGCATAAATCCTTTTAAAATCGGTGCTCTCGAGTTCGTTGTCAGGTCGTTGCATGCTCTTTTCTTATCAAACATTAATTTATGTCCCACCACATAAGCTATCATTGTCTAATTGTTTACCCGACAGCGCGAATTTTCAATGGATTTATACGTTATGGCACATTCTGGTCAAGTCTTCCGGATTTCACCTACAGTTGTTTTATTTCTGCGTTGAAGTTTAGAATTAGCTCCTAGGTGACCGAGTAAACAGTTGCGTAAAAGTGCACAGAAGAATTATGCTAATGTCACTTCATGGTTCATTAACCACTTAGATTACACTAATTTGAAAGAGAAAATCTTGTGCTAATGTTAAATACCAGAATAAGTTTAATCGCCTATGTGATGGGAGTTAGTTTATACCAAAATAGGTATACTGCTTTATTAAGCATCCTCACCATGCAAACAACTTCTTAGCTGATTCGAATGTTTCCAAAAGAATACTGACTTTATCTATATAATCCTGATCGTTTTTGGTTCAACATTTGTGATTGATGCACTCACTACACCTACCTATAGATGTAATTTCTGTGACCTTTTCCCGGTATATTATACAAATGACTCGATTAAAATCCATCTCATTTTAAACTCGATCGCCAGTGTATATTTATAAAAGTTCTTGCGCATTTATAAATAAACGAATATCAAAACACTATAGCACCGCGGCCGTTCCTCTGCATATATCCACTATATTTACATGCGTTCCGTCTGCTCTTACTCGGGATTAATTTTAGCCAAAATGTTGATCCGCGGCCTCTCACATGTGAATGCTCCGTTGCGATTTTAAATCAGTCGAGCTATTACTGTTTAACAGTGATAATGACGAATGTCGATCTAGACACGGCTCAGGTAAATCCCGCTACACCTGTTGCGTACGAAGGCTAATCTGACGCAGTTGACAATAGGGTGCGTGGCGACTCCCTCGGGCCCCGCGGCCGCGACAGTATTTTTACCCCGCCCACGACGCGCGCAAAACATCCGTCCGTGTAGCTATTCCTGGCACGCACGCATTCCGACGTCCGCCATTTTTTCATCGATCTAAAATAATATGTGCGACGCCAAAAATATGCGCAGACGTTTATATTGCAACTACCTCCTTTCCTTTACACACCTCACACCGTTAGCAATTTCTTCCGTCGGCTGATTTGTGCATAAATTTACTGGATTTTTTTTTGTGAAGATTTTATTTTACGAACTAGATAAATTATAAAAACATATATACCTTAACATAAGCCAGATCAAAAAATTAAATGTACGGGTATCACACAATATTTTAACCTGTGTACACATACAACATACAATTGTTATTCAGAATTTTGGTCTGATGCACCAAGATTAGTATAGTTACCGTTTTTGAGTAGGGTTTTGCGTGATAATTGGTATTCGGCGTGTGCATTGTCCTACATGTATTTCCTCTCTCGTTGTCAGAATCAGAGCTCGAGAAAGAACCATATTGCGGAGAGAGCAAAACAAACATTAGAGAATAATTTCCTGCTGCAAGTGAGTCCAAATTATATATACTTGTGTTGTGTGTCCTGTGCAACTACGTATCGCAACTTTGTTGCGTCAGACATTACCAGACATAATGACGATCATCTACACCTGATATTATCAGACGTGGATGACAGTTGAATGAGTCGTGACCAGACAGAACTGGCGTAGTACCTGAACCAGTTACGTGGTTGCACAAGACACGGTGTTTGCTAATTTTAAAATAAATTATTGTGATCTGTGTGGCACATGGGTTAGACATTTTACAAACCTAATTATTATTTACTTAATACACTACACATTACTTGGCTCTGCGAGATCCACTTTGTTATATATTGTAATAGCTGGTGCCGGCATCATTTAATTGTATCGACTATGTAAATCGGTCAGTTGCTGGAAATCGCAGCAACCATGTTCTCCGCTTTCCTTACCACGCTAGTCGAAGTTATCGATATCGTCACATAAGCTTCCTCATTTACGCTCACCGGAACAAAAGTTTAAATACACACTAACCGCTCTCTATATATACGGGATGAAGTGCTGTTTAATCATAATCACTTTGGGTAATATGTCGTGTCGTAGTGCGATGCCCGAGGACTTCTGACTAAGTAGCATAATCATTCATGACTCATATGTCATAAGTAGGCCTACTGCGCAATCGTGTCTACACGAAGAAGCATTCTTCGTACAATGTTGTGCTCTGCTCTCTCTCGGTAGGATTGCTAACCTGCATTTGTACGAAAAATTCTTTTTTGTTTGGGGTGAAACCAAAGCCTAACATCGCAAACAATTAATTAATGTAGTTAGTTGTAGTCGAAGGCCGTTCTACGTAGAACGTTTAGTTGTAGCATTTGGTTTCGCCCCGTCGAGAGTGTCTATAAGTGATCTTAAAAGTTGTGCATAATCGTTGATACGGTACTACTATCTGTTGCAGCTAAAGAAGCAGCAACAGCTGCAACAGGAGATCCTGCTCCAACACTTTCAACAACAGAGTCAGAAACTAGCGCAAGAACATGAGCAACAGTTGCGACATCACCTGAAGGTGAGATACCAGGTTATAAATATCGTTCAGTTCTTTTATTATGTTATCTTCAAAAAGTACTTTCTTGCGTGATATCAGTTATGACACAAAAAAATCTTATCTTTAAAAAATCTTTAGATAAAGTATTGCTTAATAGCAGATGGTAAGAATGCATTATGCGCTAACCAACAACGAAATGTGTTGTATACCAACCTTTTTTTCCAATAATAGTCGCAGACGAAGTCGTCTGTGGAACCTTGTGGCTGAATATAAAAACGCGCCAAAATAAACATGCGTCCAATATTATTAGCATGCTTTTGGCTCGCAGACGTGACATAAACATTTATCTAAAACTAATCAACAGCAATATTTTAGTTGACGTCCACGTGATAGTAACAGTCCCGCTGAAGCCAAGCATGCTTAAAAATAATCATTAATGGTTTTATTTTGAAGTAACCACTCTGATGCTAATTGTGGACAATTGGCGAGCGGACTCCTCGACAAGCGGGCCGGGGCTACTCTCAATTGAATGTTCAACTTTAACTATATGTAGGTATATAGTCAATAATAGCACCAGTTCCACTCGCTCGTATAACACTGGGCCAAAGACTCGCGAAACTAAAAAAGCTGGAAGTTGGCTCATGATGGCCGTCGACGTGTCATCGACGCTTTATAAATAGTCATGAATGGTGAACGAGCAATTTATAATTACATCATTCATACTGAGCCACACCGCCGCCTGTGTGTTTAACAGACAACTTGACTTACGCAAATTAGAGGTTACATTCACCTCGCATAAGTCTTATACTGGTGCATACTTTAGTTAGATCGTACAGCTGACAATGCAAGGGTGTTGGTTAGCGCATATACAACCTACTGAATTTTATAAAAACAAATATTTTCAAATGCGTATTGTAATATGTCTTGGATAAGTGACTAATCGATAATTTACCGCCTAATGCCGATCAAGTGTTACACACACGATAAGGGAGTATCAGGTGCTGAATCATCCGATAGATATTCATTTGGCGCCGGATTGTTTTCGTATATGTTAATATAGGCTTACGTAACTTGCACTGTTTCAATTGTTAAAAAAATGCATTGCGTTTACTGTGTTGCTTATTATTTTTTTCACACTTTTTCCTTTTTTATATTCTGTTACTTTTACAATCTATTTCGCCCTATAAGACTTGTCTTTCTATAAATTGTTCTCAAACATACGAGTATAGTATTTATTCGGTTGTGATATACGTAGAAAGATCACGATTAGCCAGACCCACACTAAACGATCCAATTTGTTATCCAATCAGTATTTCAATAATTTCGCACCGTAGAACGCGCGAGGAACGTTTACATAAAACTTGTTTTTCAATTTATATATAGTCTGACAATGATATTGTTGCTATCGCCGAAATTTATTGGTATATAGTTCCTATTATATTTAAGACTTGTATCTATCCAAACGTGGTATTGTGATCCATGAACGTTTATATGCGCAAACGCAGGAGTGTGGGTGTTGTGTAACCGTGTGTACGTTCCGTGTGGCAGCAGATGTGGGAGCAGCAGAAGGCGCTGGAGGAGGCGGCGCTTCGGGAAGCGAGAGAGGCGCGGGAGGCGCGCGAGGCTAGAGAGAGACACGAGCGAGACCGCGTCGAACTAATGAGGAAGAAGGACAAGCTCGAACCTAGCGCCAATGCATCCACGCAGGTCAAACAGAAGCTACAGGTGAGCTACGCTCCAGATACACGCACAGCTTATGCTCGATACTAGATTGTTGTTGTATTTAATCTCATTCATCTTTTGGAAGGTTAGGGATGTAACGATACATCGGAAAACCGGTATATATCGATATATGGACGCCCAAAAATATCGATATTGAAGTAACAGCGATATTGATATCGTAAAATCAAATATCGAAACCTAATGTCGAATGAAATCCTAAAAGTAAATGTATATCAGTTTTTTTTAACGTCCAACGGCATTTTCACATGTGATTCACAATAGTAAGTTACTTTGTTACAATGATTTTTTGCTTTAAAATTTGTAGTAGTTTTGTTATTATAATTTGTACTTAATTGCAAAATAATGTATTTTTCCCAATTAAATCACAATCTATTTAAATTAGTAATAACACATTTTCCCATCGATAAATATCGATATATCGGCTTTATCAAGCTATATATTGATATCGACTGTAGCCAATATATATCGAACTCGATATATCGATATTTTAACGAAACTTATATTTCATCTCTAAGGGAGTTATGCTAATAATTGTGTATAAGTAGGTATAAACATGTGATTCCATTTTACCAACATTATTGAGATCACCGAGCCGAGAGTGTTATAGTCAGTAACAGGAGATTGTTTTCTTAAAATCGGACCAATAAAGATACGAATCTTACAAGAACATATTAATTTATTAGAACAGAGGCGTTTATTGTTTGCTATGCGAATGTGATCCAATCGAGCCATACACCTAGGGACGTTTTAGTATACTGTAATAATAGATAACGAGTAGATTTTTAGATCGCAGGGAGCAGTTCTCTACGGAATCAACTAACGCCCAGCTTCCAATGATCATCAACGAGATTAATTATTTTACTATTGCCGTAAAAACGTATGTATATTTGCAGGAGTTTTTGAAGAAGAAAGCGGCCGCCAACGCTAACGGAACAGTACCTGGATCACCCTACAGAAATTGGTGAGTGCATCTCGCAACATTCATTTTTAAACGATAAGAACACATTTTAACCAAAGGGACACAGCGTGGTAACATTTGGGGAGAGCATGTCCGAAGAGGAAATGTATGAATAGCTTGGAAGGGAATGAGTTCAGAAACTTTGATGTTTGTTCTCATTCGTGAGGTACGGAAGAGAAACTAAACTGTCTTAAAAAACCTAGTAATACAGTTTTAAAATCGAAAAGCTCTTCTAATGGTACATTCCTCTAACGCTCACGTTCTTCTGTTGGTCGATAAAGTGGTGTGTCGCATTGCGCAGGGGCATAGTGAAGTCGAGTAGCGGCGAGAGTATAACGTCGACGGGCGCGGCGGCCACGCACCCGTACAGGCTGGCCGCGCCCCTCCCCCTCGCCGCCCTCAACGCCGCGCCGCCCCCGCCCTCGCCCAGCGACTACCCGTTGCGCAAGACTGGTAAGTGCACGCACACACATTCATGTTCTAGTATTCGTCGCAATACTGCAGCAACAGCACGGGTAGCACGACAAACTCGAGAAACGCTTTGGCTACACTCACTTGTCAGTTTGTCGGGTCAAGAGTGAGATATCGTATGGGCGCACCCGAGAAAAATGACATTTGAGTGTAGACAAAACGTTCTCGAGTTCGTCATGCTACGCGTGCAGATTCACTGTCACTTGAATTACACCCAGTGCAAACTTAAAATTAAGGAAAGATTTAAATCACGGTGGAACTCCAGGTCTTTTTTGCCACGATCTCGAGACGCTTCCTGTGCTATAAGTATTTAGTAGAGTTTTATCAATCATAAATAATTAACTTTACGCAGGAATGAATCACTGCGTAAAGTGTAATAAGTAACATATCGTACCTAATATGATTCACCTAGTTGCTATATTTAATGAACGACTAATAAACTATGTTATATTTTTAAAATTTATCACCAATATATATATATATATTTAAATGATACACCGTCATGTATGCTCTTCGCGTCAAGAACTTTAATTCGTGAATTACACAACAGCTGATCAGGCTAGCAATAAGATATCAAGTTTAAGCAATCAATTTTAAAAGTAACTATTTAACAAAATAAGGTTTAAATTATCTGAAGACTTACTACCGGTTTCTGAATTTAGAAAAATACAAAATTTCAACTGAATATTCGCATAAACTAAGTAGTTTTATCAAACTGCTCAAAATTTACCTAGTTTTTATCAAACTGCTGTTAACCGATCATTAAAAAATTGAAACGAAAATCTGTTTATGTGACGTTTAAGTACAGTTTGAGATGTACTTACGTTATTAACTTTAAATTCTCTATATAGAAACCGGGTAATAGTCTTGAATACCTCGATGTGCTGTTGTTTGTATGTATAATGTCCGTAAATGAGGAATTCCATTATCACAAGAAATTTGTTTTTGTTTCTGAATAACTGCATTTGTGTGATATTAACTGTAATCGAATGGGTAATGCAATTTTTCGGGTTTTATAGAGATATCTTAATATGGATACGACATCTACAAGTTTATATCCTCGGTCGTGTGATAAGTATTCATGTTTTGCCATTTAATTGTATTTCGAAAAATATTGATCTATTTTTCAACGTTAGCCAGCAATTCGTATTGCAAGATCGTGTCTCCACTGATAAAACATTTTGGATCTTCATTTCAAATTGCACTACCTATTCTTGTCAATGGATAATAATATTAATATAATGAGTGAAAGTTAGATCGCCCTTGTAACGATATCGTGAACGTTACACAGACGATTCTGGCTGACACAGGTTGCTTGATGAATGTAGCAGTTATGCTGTTTATTAACATACACCATCGACTCGGGCACACCGTCTATATGTTCTTATATATATATAACCTTTACGGGGATTTGTTGAGGTATTACAAAAAGAAAGTTCCTTCTCGTAACATTCTACTCGTGCATCTTCATAAGAAAATCTAACTTTTAAGAGTAACGGTTTAAATATGCAAAGGTGAACGACAAAAGACATCGCTAATATTCTACTCTTGTCGGTAAAATAATATTATCGATGAAGCTAACGATAGAATGTTTTTAATATTATTTTTTATTTTATGATAGTTTTTGTTTAAAACTAATTGATAAATTCCGCGACGCGGAGTTGACACCGATCGAATAGCTCCATAGATCGGGGGTAGGACGTGACCGGTGTGGTCGGGTGTGCGTGGGTGTGTGTGTGAGCATGCGCGTGTGTGTGTGGTAGCGTCGGAGCCCAACATGCTGAAGGTGCGGCTGAAGGCGCGCGTCATCGAGCGCCGCGCCTCGCCCCTCGCGCGCCGCCCGCTCAAGCAGCGCGTCAAGCAGCGCAGTGAGTACTGCACTACACTACACTACACTACAACACTACACTACACTACACTACTACACTATACACCACACTATACTACTCTACACTACACTACTACACTATACACCACACTATACTACTCTGGCAAGGTACCGATACCACAGCCTCTTGTTCATGTCGATAATACATACATCTTTTAAATATTTCAATACTTAACAAATACAACAACAACATGGAATGTTCTTTCACTCGATGTCTTTTAATTTCAACTAACATTTAACCATGTTTTTAAACTCACACGATTTGTATACATTATAATTATATGTAATCGGGTCTTGTTCGTGCATTTTTTAAAACTATTAATTTACAATAAAATCAAGTGTAGGGTACATCTGAAAATCTGTTAAAAACATTATTACCGTATTACCCTCACGCCTCAACTAAAATCAGAAGACGACGCCCGCCAGTTCTCCAGTCTCCTCGTGACCACGGCTGCTGTAACGTAGCCGAAACGTCAAGGTAAATTAATAGTTTTAAAAAATGCACGAACAAGACCCGATTACATATAATTATAACATTTAACCGTTGAGTGTATTGTTGATTTAAGTAATTAGCGCAGGAACTAAACAAACGCAACGCTTTATCGATATCGATGTTTTACTTCGGTAACTCTAACGTAGTATGTTATCGTCAACCGTTTTAATAGAGTATCTTATTTTTTATTTCATATCGAATCTAATAGATGTATCCGATTTCTGTATTTGTGTTTATAGATAAAGCAAACACCCCACCGTGTTTTAACGGATGTGGATTTATTCATAAGAGGTCGACTGATATATTAGATAGAAAGAACACTTCGCGCGAGCTCCTATCATAATAAAGGGTACTAACGCACGTTTAGAGGACTCGTAAAAAGGAGCTCGTAATGTGTTTTACGGTCACCCATCCGATGCCTGACCTTTGCAAAGGTCGCTTAACTGCGCAGCCGCACATCATACGTGGGACCTGCAGCGCCATCGAAGCTGGTGATGAGGAATATGATAACTAAGTACCCTTTCGGTTGGCACAGATTGCGACGGCACCCCTATCTCACCGCGGGGGTCGCCGCCAGGGGGCGGGGGCGGGGGCACGGCCACGCCCATCCGCGAGGAGGAGGAGTGCGGGCGCGCGGCCGAGCTGCTGTTCTCCTCCCCCTCCATGCCCAACATCTCACTCGGCAGGCCGCACACCCATCCACATCCCCCGCCGCAGGTGAATTAGAAGGGAGTAGGCCCTGGATGGTTTATGCCATTTTGGAGCCCTAAATAAATAAGGGAATCTACATATTAACATTTTATTAAAAGCTTAAGTATGCGTTTGATCATTTTAGTACAGACACAATAATTAATTCAAAAAGTAATAAAATAATATACTCAATATCACTTTATTCGTCGCTCACTACTCTGGTGAATGACGTTTGATAAATAATTTAAACTCCACGTGATAAGTCCTGCAGTCTGGCGATAGAATGTTGCAGTGGCCCGTCCTACCAGACGCCACGGTGTCTGCGTACGTTACAATATATATGATGGAGCGCGTGTCGCACGCAGGTGTCGGTGTCGCTGCCGCCGGTATCCGAGGCGGAGGCGTTCTGCCCGGCCGGCGTGGGTGTGGGCGTGGGCGGAGTGGGCGTCGGCGGGGTGGGCTTGGTGGGGGGGCGGCTGGGCAAGCGGCCGCTGGGCCGCACGCACTCCGCCCCCCTGCCGCTGGGCGACCCCGCGCTGCAGCCCCCCACCGCACACCACTACCTGCGCGACCAGATACGGAAAACTGTACGGCCCACTCTCCGTTATTTTTTTATTTTGTTAAGTATATACAAATTTGACATTCAGTCTATTCGAATTCGGTTCGCCTTTTCGAACTAGGGATCCCATCGGTTTATGTGACATTGATTTAACTAAACTTTCCATTATGCCATTCAACATGGCAATAGGGAATATGCGTCTGATTCAAAAAAAGGTTAAATATATTTTATTACAATCGTTATTGCTTTAGAATAAAGTCTATCTAAATATTTTTTAATATTAGTTCGTTTTCGTCTTGAAAATAATTATTGAAAAGTGCAAAATAAATGCGGTAATTTCAAAATATTTAAACGCCATGCTACTTGTCAGAGCGGATGTGACGAAAATGTACACACGTAAAGGGATGTCGTTGTTACAAAAAGTTAACATCGATGCAATAACATCAATGTATTATGTCGCAAAATAAACAACTGATTACAATTTAAATTATGTTTTGGGCTTTTATTTTTATTTCTCTAATTTAGTAAATTATATGATTTATTAAAAAAGTCTATTATACTTTAAAAAATCGATTAGTTGTTAATCGATTTGTGTAATTGAATAATAATCAATCACTCAAAATCCATATTGATTTAAAATATCATATCTTTAGTCGTGTACTTTGACGTCACGACGAGCGCGCAAAAAATTCCGGTGTTTAAACTGCTCGTAGCTATTACTTATTTTCATTAATTATTAATGTTACAGAATTTTAGTTTTTCGGTGCCAGGTATTTTTTTACAGTTATATATCGAATTAAATTATCATATAAAACCATTTTCCAAAAGTGTGCATATTCTCTATTTATATACATTTTCGGTTATTGCTTTTTTCTTCTCAGTTTTGTATTATTTATTATGTAAGGTCAGAGTCTAAAAAATTGTATAAGTATTTAGATAATTGCCCGTCTCCACGTTTCTATAGAGATGCTATCACGTTGGTAACGAAACGTAAAACCGAAGGTGCTGACGCGGGCCCACGACGCGGCGGCGGCGCAGCTGCGCGAGGAAGAAGGCGAGGTGATAGACCTGACGGCGCGGCGGACGGAGGCCGCCCCCGCGCTGCCCCCGGGCGCCCCCGCCGTCCCCGCGCCCCCCGCGGTGGAGCCGGCCCCGCTGGCGCGCGCGCTTTCCTCGCCCCTCGTGGGGGCGCGCGCCCCCGCCACCGGCCTCGCGTACGACCCTATCATGCTCAAACACGGGTGAGATATATATACGATAACGTTAATCGAAGATATATTTGAATGGATAACGGGCAAAAGTGCTTCGGTTGTAAAAAATATTGTATTGACTGATCAAAATTTGTGTGAAGAGTAAATTAAAAGAACCCTTTTGATGATTGATCCATAAAAGTTAATCATATTTCTGTCAAATAGAAAATTTGAAAAATGTATACTTGGTATTATACGTAGAAATTCACCTTCTACTTATTTCTTAAATTGATTTTTATAAATATTCAGTATAAATTATGCTAATTAGTGGAATAAAAAGCGTGAACGTAATAACTATCCGACAGAGTTAATTACTGTAAATAATATTTGAAAAAAATGTTGTTAATCAAATCAATAATTTATTGGCCATATAACTCAGAAGGTTACCACTCGGCAAGTCTTTTACAATAAGCATATTAAATTAAAAATAAAGGTTTAAATCATGCAGGTCAAATCATGTAAGTAGGAATGTCAAATAAATTAAGTATCTTAAAATGTCAAAATGGTTATTTTTCCGATCCTTAATAATCAATTATATCACAGTCAATTAAATCACAACATCACAAATTAGATTATAAAAACATAGGTTATAAATAATTTTATGTCATAAAATATTGATGATTATTATATCTTGTCATCTACCACAGAGATCTAGTCAATTTCGTATCTCACCCATCTTTATGTAGGAATGAATATTCATCCAAACGCATAGACATAAATTCATTTAAAGGGTATAGGGGATGCTGAATAAAAAAAAATTAATTGTTCTTTCGAATTCGTCAACATTCATGTTTTTTATACTGAGGGGAATTTTATTATACATTATAATTTTATTATACATGCCTGTTTTGTACCTTTGCCAATCTTGTTTTAGGCAAACACAATCGTTCCTTATTACGTAAAATATAGCTATGGATGTCCTCTTTCTCAAATGTAAATCCCGATCATGGTGTATTTCTATTAAACATTTATAAATGTATAAAGAAATAATTGTCATTATTTTATTTGTTTAAAATAAGGTTGGCTGACGTACGCTTGCGCAAACCATTATTAATTCGTAATGACCTTTTTTGGCATTTTAGTACACGATTTATATCAGTAGCATTTCCCCAGACTGTCACCGCATAGCTTAATAGGGAGTGCACATAAGCATAATACACTGTCATTAATGTTTTTTTATGGTTGCGGGCTTCAGTTTTTGTAGTGCGTAGTTTGCACTGGCTAGTTTTTTGCATAGCTTGTTTATATGATAAGAGTGGCTCATAGTATGGTCTAAGGTATAACCTAGAAAAGTATTATTGTAACAAGCACGTTCTCAGATAGCCGTTTCTAACCTGATAATGCATTATTGTACTTTTATTAGCATTCAGTAATATGCCATTAGCCTGAAACAATTCCATCAGAATATCCACAGCTATTTCAATTTTTTGCTCGAGTTTATTTTGCGACTTGTCCTTTATTCCGAGATGAGTATCATCAGCAAATAAGCTGGTGAATGCCCACTCAGGGACCTGAGTTTACTAAGTCATTTATATATATTAAAAATACCCACTGGCCTAAAATCGAGCCTTGTGGCACCCCTATATCAATGTCTTTTAAATCTTAATTAATTTCTTAGAGATTTTTTGATGCTAGTCAAATTTTTCAGTGAAAGTCGCCTGGACCAGTCGCGTCGTGATAGATGATAAATTTGAATTCGATCAATGAGTCACCTCAAGATTTTATACCGGGACACCGTTGTCCGTCCACGTTTACAAAAGATATGCCGAGTACAAAACATTAGTATTTAGTGTACTCTATAATAATTTTGTGTAACAATGATATTTCTAATTTAAAATTTTGACATACATATATCCAATGTGACTTTGTAATCTTATTAATATTTGCATGCTATCGCTGATGGCTAAATGAGCTGAACTCAAATTGTTTTTCAATCTACAGTGTACCTAATTTAAAAGCAAATAATTATTATTAAGAATCGGTACATATATAATGGTTTATTTTCATTTCACTCGTCGCTTCGGCTGAAATAGCGTCAGCGCGGTAGGGAGAAACGATATTCACTTCCAGATTGTAGATCTCTATTTAACTCAACAATATTCGTCTTATATTCCAATTAAATCTAAGAGGGGGATAGTGATAGGGTACGTGATAAGTAAATGCCAAGGAAGCACATTTATGGAACGTGAATTATTTGCATACTAGTGCATTCCATACAAATCACGTTTATAATATGGTTCTTAATATTTGCATTTGCCATGACGCGGGAAAACCCTTCGCTCGCTATATTCACTAATTGTCCACCCGTCGTTCCGGACAGTTGCGGATGCGGCGCGCACGCCCCCACGCATCCGGAGCACGGGGGCCGGCTGCAGTCCGTGTGGGCCCGACTGTGCGAGACCGGACTGGCGGGCCGGTGCGAGCGGACGAGGCCGCGCAAGGTGGGTACACCGATGGCATTTTACGCTCCTACGCACCTAAGCGGAACGTATCGAGTCGAATACTAACCGAGCGGCACGGGGGCGTGTGCAGGCGACGCTGGAGGAGCTGCAGGCGGTGCACGGGGCGGCGCACGTGCTGGCGCTGGCGGGGCGCGCGCGCGAGCGGCTGGCGGGGGCGGGGGCGGGCGTGGGGGCGGGCGCGGGGGCGGGCGAGGCGGGCGCGGGGGCGCCGGCGCTGGTGCGGCTGCCGTGCGGGGGCGTGGGCGTGGACGCGGACACGGCGTGGGCCGAGCACACGCCCGCGGCCGCGCGCGCCGCCGCCGGGGCCGTGCTGGACCTGGCGCTGCGCACCGCGCGCGGGGACCTCGCCAACGGGTGCGGCACCACTTTGTGTTCACTATTTTTTATTTGGCCCCGATCTGTTCGCTGCGAGGGAAAAATCGAAATAGTAGTAGTTTACCTAGGTGATTCTATTTGAAACTGCTCGTGGGTCTTGGCGCTGTAAAATATTTATGAAAAATAGAAGCACCGTAAACGGAAAAAATTTCAAGTTTTGTGACCTCCGATTGTCCGACATAGATGAGCCCTGTTCCTTTCTAATGCATTTAAATTTTCATCAAATATCTCTTTTACCTTCTTCTCCGCCTTATCGGAGCTCCAAAATCTCCCTTCTTTATTTCACCATGATAGATAGTATTTTTCTTCCCTTTTATTTTCGGCACTTAGCCGCTGCCGGTGACGACGTCACCTTTTTTTGAGATGAACGTTAGTATATATTGTGATATGTGAAACAGGTTCGCCGTAGTTCGGCCCCCGGGGCACCACGCGGAGACCAACCAGGCGATGGGGTTCTGCTTCTTCAACTCCGTCGCCATCGCCGCCCGCCTGCTGCACACCAGGCTCGGCCTGCAGCGGATACTCATCGTCGACTGGGTGAATATATATATAATTATGTACCTCTGTCTCACCGGCTAAAATCGCAGAAATGACTGAATAGCCTTTTTGGGTTGATTTTACGACTAGTATATTTCATCTTGAAAAAATATTTACATAATAGGTTTTCATATATTATAATATTCTCTTTAATAGCTGCATCTGTTATTTTTCTGTAATTAAAAATGTGTGAAATTAAGCGAACGCGTCTTCACTCTCGATGCGTATTTGTGTGGGAACGTAAGCGGAGGTACAAAATTAAAATATGGACAGTGGTGATGATGATCGTGATCGTGTCTCGCTCAGGACGTGCACCACGGCAACGGCACGCAGCAGATATTCTACGAGGACCCGCACGTGCTGTACATCAGCATCCACCGGCACGACGACGGCAACTTCTTCCCGGGCACGGGCGCGGCCACCGAGTGCGGCGCGGGGCCCGGCCTCGGCTACAACGTCAACGTGGCCTGGAACGCGGGCACCGAGCCCCCCCTCGCCGACCCCGAGTACCTGGCCGCCTTCCGCTCCATAGTCATGCCCATAGCCAAGGTACGCGCCGCCCCCGCCTGCGAGACCCCATTCAATCATTGTACTGATTGTATACGAGCGAGTTGTGTGCGCAGGAGTACGACCCCGAGATCGTGCTGGTGTCGTGCGGCTTCGACGCGGCGGCGGGGCACCCCGCCCCCCTGGGGGGCTACCAGGTCTCCCCCGCCTGCTTCGCGCACATGACCAGGGACCTCATGACGCTCGCCAACGGAAAGGTATGCACGCTACTATCGGTTGATTAATATTTGATAATAATAGCCTTTTCGTTCCTCGCTTACACGATATGCTACGCTTATACAAATACAGTATTATTAACTTGTCTTCCAACGATGTGTTAGTCGGTTGGTTCCTGTATGAATTTAAATTACGGTATTTGTTATTTTACTTCTTATGCATGAACCCCAAACTGGGTAAAGGCCTCCTCCAAAGATGGCTGTTTGTCTCCGTCCTTCGCTATTTGGCTCCGGTTTGAGCCACCGAGCGTTTCTTTTTATTTCGTCGTCCCACTTTGCTGTTGGTCCCACGGCGTTGATATAGTTAGTTAAATTGAGATCTACAACTTAGAAGTTAGTATCATTTCACCCTACCGCGCTGACGCTATTTCAGCCTTCTAGTAGTCAATATATGCAAGAATAGGGTAATATCCTTTGTTGTTATTGATATTTTTCAATAGTCAATTCTAAAGCGTGGATGTGATCTAGTGTAAACAACTCATTTCTAAAACCTACCTGTTCAACTCCTTTCTATCTCATAGTTAATTCTTTCATCAACAATGGCACAAAACAACTTATATACGCTCGGTAGTAAGCTTATCGGTCTATTGTTACCGATATCGTTTTTAAGTCTCCTTTCTTGTAGATTAAAATGATGTTAGATTTTGACCATTGTTTGGGTGTCTCTGGTGAATGTAAAATCAAATTGAATAATTCTGCCAGTGGTGTAGCCAAAATTTCTTGTGTTGTCTTCGATACTCGTTTGTAATTTTATCTAATACAGGGGATTGATTGCCTCAATAGCTTTAATTAAGTCTATAATTAAATGTTGTCTCTACAATTTCACCTTGCTCTGGTGTTTTAAGTTTTTCGCTATATAAATTTTCATAAAAATTGGGAACGGCAGTCATAATATACTATCTGTAAGCTGTCATGATAATGATTTATTATATTAGGTTCAGAGATTACATATGTATTCACGCGTTATAATAGACGTGAAACTCAAACAAAAGAGCTCAGACAACGAAAGTCGGGAAGCGTCTTGCATAGATTTGTGTTACTACAAGTTTAATGTTTGTTTTATCACATTACTGTATCTTCATAAGTTTTCGGAGCATTTTATCTCTGTACACATTCGGCGGGGTCGGTCGAAAGTCACTTTTATAATTACAATTTTTATTACTGGAACGGAGCCGACTTTTTCCGTGTATAAGAGCGTCGGAACGTCAGAGTACCAGAGGGCGGTTTGTGACGTGCGCTGTGGTGCCGCAGGTGGTGCTCTCGCTGGAGGGCGGGTACGACCTGCCCGCGGTGTGCGACTGCGCGCAGGAGTGCGTGCGCGCGCTGCTGGGGGAGCGGCCCCCCGCGCCCCCCCTGCCCCACCTCGCGCGCGCCCCGTTGCCGCGCGCCCAGCACGCGCTGCGCGCCGCCGCCGCCATACAGGCGCACCACTGGCCCGTGGTACGTACCCCTCCCGCCCTCCCGCTGCCGGGGGCGGCCCCCCGCGCCCCCCCTGCCCCACCTCGCGCGCGCCCCGTTGCCGCGCGCCCAGCACGCGCTGCGCGCCGCCGCCGCCATACAGGCGCACCACTGGCCCGTGGTACGTACCCCTCCCGCCCTCCCGCTGCCGGGGGGCGGCCCCCCGGCCCCGCGTCTACTCCCGGCGCGCTACATTCTTTATCTGTATCGCTTGTGTCCTCTTTTGTAAATACTGAACTAGACATCTATCGAACGGACGGTCGATTGTGAATTTAAACGAGCTAATACGTGGTTTGGTTTGGCAGGTGAAGCGTTACACGGAGCTGATCGGTCTGTCTGCGCTGGAGGCGTCCCCCGCATGCGGGCGGCGGCTGCAGACGGAGCGCGAGGCGGCCGACGCGGCCGACACCGCCGCCGCCATGGCCACGCTGTCCATGACGCACGCGCCGCCGCTCGCCAGGTGACGGTCGATGTACATCGATGTTATTGATGTCAGCTCTTGCAAGGATAGCGGCGTCACATGTGCTCTCTGTTGGCCGCAGGTCGTCGGAGAGCTCGCGGTCGGTGTCGGAGGAGCCGATGGAGCAGGACGAGGGCAAGTGAGGCGCCCCGCGGCCGCCCCCGCGCCCCCCCGGGCCCCGCCCCCGCCCCCGCCCCCGCGTACGGCACATTCCAGCGGCCGCGCCCGCGCCGCCGAGTGCGTAATCCCGACGCGCTATATGTATATTTCGTGAGGTGTCATTTGTCGTGGTTCATGAGGATCTAGCGATCGCGTAGAGTATATGTGTAGGTGGTAAAATTAAGACAAATCTTAATTTGAAAGCTTTAAAACGTAGAAGAATATATTTAACGATGTGTACAAAATATATAATAATATAATGGATCGGAGGAGTACCGTCGGCGCGGCGCCGGCGCAACCAAAGATACTAGCCGCCCGACACGTGACCGACGCGCGACTGACGCGCGACCGATGCGCGACTGATGCGCGACTGACGTGAAACTGTCGCGGACGTGAGCCCGTCGCTCCGGTCGGGCTCGTGTGGATTTTTCAATTATTTATTTATATTTATATTCAGTGGTGTCCTAGATGGTACGCTGTGATCAGTGTTTTCTATGTGATAATGATGTCGCTCGATGGCTTGAGAGATTTTTTTTAAGAATAGTTAGTTGTTTCCGACCGCGGGCCTCTCCGCGCTGTCTCTTAACTGAATTTTCAATTTTTGATATTGTAATGCGCGAGCATTTTGTAAAAGTTGTAACTTTATTATGCCACCGATGAGGGCATTGTCTTATGATATTAAAGAGTATATGCCTCTGTTGTTACGGCCTCGGGCCATCTGTGAAACGATTCTAAGATTCCTCGTTATTTAAGGCGAAAGTGCAATATGTCTAATATATATATATTATGTATGCAGCCGAGTAGAGCAGACGCCTATAGACACGGTAACTCGACAATTTTGTAATGTAAAGATTTAAGGTCGGCGCTCATCTGACGGAAGATATAGTCTATCATCGGTCGTGAAGCGTCAAAACTGTATGAACGATATTAGACTTTGCACACACGTCGAATCATCCGATGCGCACTTCCGTGATGCGCCCAACGGATCTTCCGTCAGACGTGCACAGACCCTTAACATGTGCTGTTGTATGAAAACGAAATTTTGTGAAATGAGATTTTCGGGAAGTATCAACGATGATTTGTTTTTATATAAATGATGTATAGTTACCGTAACTTCAAGAAATAGTAAGCTCGTATTATATATGTATGAGAGCCGGTCGCCTTCGACCTCGGATCGTAATGGATATATATATTTTTGTATGATGGCTGTCTGTCTGTCTGTATACGTATTGTAAGTGGTGACGTACTGTTGGATGCGATCCTTTGTACGATAAATTAAAACAATGTTGTGTCTTTGAGAATTTTATTGTTGAATTGGAATACAGATGAAATAATTATTTAATAAATGTATATATATTATATATATATATTTGGAAATATATCTGAAATTATTTAAAAATATATTTTCTTTTTAATTTTCTAGCCTTAATACCTCTGCATTATTTACATAGGACTACTTTTGTGGAAAATACGTAATATAATATTAATAATAGACAACGTGTGTCCAGTAAAACGATGACGAAATTTCAATCAAGTTAAAACTACATTTTGAATTCATTTATCTTAATTTTCTATTATTATTAGGTATTTTTCCAGTTTCAACTAAAAAGGTCTCAATTCATAATCTCGGCACCGAGAAAGTGCCCGACCTTGTTGGTGATAAGCACTTCTCATTACTAATTATATAAAAATAAGATATGCTTACAAACTAATTACAAAAATAGAATACGCCTAATTACATATCAGTACTTTCATACATTTGGATTTTGATCACAATATGACCTTTTATTCACTTAAATATAATAATAATCAGAAAATATTTCCAAAATTGATTAAATTAATCAGACGCGTACAAGTCACAGTAATAAAAATATAAGTCTAGAAAAAACATGTATATGCTAAATTGTAATTTAATAATAGGCCTATTAGGACCGAGACACAGAGATGACGTGGACGTCCGTGAATGGACGGCAGATTATACGTTCAGTATTAAAGAACCAGTATCGCTGTGACGGGTCGAAAAGCGTTATAATAATCGTCATTCGTTTTCGTTTATTCTTTCTTCTAATTGCATAATTTTCACTCCAAAGACTAAATAAAAATGCTTGCCTAACATAGAAATTAAGCTTTAAAAAATAAGAATAGGCATTCGATATCCGAGGGCCACAAGTGACTAGACGGAGTACTTGTGACAAAAATGTCGAAAGCTCTTGCAAATTTACATCGAGACTAGACGCCTGTCCCGGCCTTTTCCGGTCGCTGCCGTTCCTTGGTGTGTCTCGGCCCTTATATGAATGCTTTAAGGAAATGCTTACATTATAAAATAGATCAATAATGTCTAATTATGAAAAAGAAAAGTATTTTTTTCACAATTTTATTACATCCAACGGGGAAGCCTTTCCATGTTGTACTTAAGTGTTATAGTTTATGGCAGTTTACAAATAACTTAAAACAACTGAGACTAGAATAATTTCCCATGGTGGATGAATGACATCGCTGACGTTACTTGTATCAAATTTTGGGAATTAACATTTTCTGAGAACACGTGATAATCAAAAGATTTCCAGAGAAACCACGATGGGCCACTATGACACAACACCACCAGTGCACGTGCTTCAGCTTTACATGAATTAGCCACTAACGCGGAGTAAACAGATATCTATTTATCTCATTAGTGATAAATATATATTATTATGAATTTAATATTTTCTTATGAAAAATCTGAACCGTAAAACTGTAGAGATTTAGCCTGAAAATTACATAAAGATGTCAAGTACAGCAGTTCGATTTTACTAGGCAACCAAGGTTACATTTGATCGATTTGAAATAAGTTCTTAGTTAGAGCCCTTTGACGAGGATGAAACGATGCCAAGATATATATGATTAAAATTCTGTACTTCACATCTTTTTGATCACCCCGGGGGCTTCCATGATTATGATGCTTACTGTACTATCATATATTTCCAAGTTAAAAAACAAATTCTGTCCGTACCTAAAAACAAGATATTTACTTTTCTAATAAATAAAACGTATGCGTGCAACAGAATATACGTATTTCTGTAAGATTAAACTTATTCAATAACATTATAAGAACACAAGTATTATAATTGTCTCCCACCATTTTCCCCAAACCAAAAATTGGCTTAGGGTCAATTCACACTATTGACATCGCCATTAACTTTTTCAATAATGATTAAAAAATACTTTAACTTTACGCTTAAAATAATTATCTCTTAGTATTCAATAAGTATAAATGAAAACGATAAACACAAAACTTATTTGGTTACGTTATTCGTCGTCTTTGTTCAGATTACTTCAGACTATCATCGTAACAAACCAAAAAAAAAAAATTCAGTTCCATTATACATTCTATTTAGCTACCTATATTTACAAAACTCGAAATTCGATTTTCCGTTCTATGCATGTTTATATGGTACAGTAAAACAAATAATATAGCTCGCCGATGTACCTGCGCGGTAAAGCTCGGTCACAAAGAGGCCAATTACAGTAATTAAAAAATCGTGCCTCAAACCACAACAGTGTGCGATTAAGACTGACACATCAGAAATAGTATTTTACACCTTATGGTCATTAAAACAAGAGTAATTATTTTACGCATTTATAATTCTGTTCAGTCACTATCGAAATTACAAGGTCTGTTCTGCGCAAACGCAAATTCTCGACGCGCTATATTTTTTATTGTACGTAGTGACATTATATTCGGATAGTTGGCTGTCTGTTGATCGAGTAGGGTAGATGACCTCGATTAGTTCACTTCACGATTATGTGGTTTTGGCCATTTTGAGCTTTGAACACTTTGAAACATCACCTCGGTGTTAGTTTTGCCATAATTCAATTTTATTTCAATCTTACAATCAAACTATTTATTGGGCGTATAACATAGAGAGTTCGCAGACACGTGGCAAGTGTTTTACAATAAACATTTCAATTGAAATGCTAACGTATAAAAATTATGCAAATCAAACAATTATAGGAATGTCAAAGAAATTAACTATTTCAACAATGATGCCTATGCATTAGTTAGGACGCCTTGAAGTTCCGAATGACCAAAAAGGGTGCAGTGGCCAAAACCGTGTCCTCTGCCCTGAGCCGGCAAGTGGCGATGGTCCGCTACAGCCGGTCGGGGGGGTCCAGCGTGCTGCAGTGGCAGCTGCACGAGCTCACCGGGCACTCCGTGTGCTCCCTGAGTACAAGTTTACTTTAAAGGCAAACTTTATAGAGACAAATAGATCGGTCGGTGGTTCACAACAATAATATGCGGAATTAAACCATCTGTAATGGAGGGTGTTTATAATACGAAGCAAGTCGAAACAAATCGCTTATATCGCGAAAATATATACAGCAATTGAACTCAAATAAGATTACTATATCAGCTAAAAGCTAGTTTTTAATACAATATAGGCGAGAAATTTGGAAAATAACTATTTCGAAGGAGCATTGCTAGAAAAATTGCAAAACAATTTTAGATAAAAAAAAAGTGTAATTTGGAATTAACACTCCTGAGCTTTAAAATCTGAAATACTTTATTAAAATAAACCGATTGTTCAAAAATTAGACCTACTATAAAAAATATAATATCAGACTCTGTACGTTTACGTACAATTACTTATTTATATTAACTACTGACGTGCAGCCTACTTTGGCGTGCGGTCAATAATCTAAGTATATAATATGTATCGACATTAAAAGTTAGTTGTAATTTATACTTGGTCAACTCGTGTATCTACTAACTAAATAAACTTAACAATTTACACAGTGCACTGTTTAATTTGAACTATATTCAACTTTATCCAAACTTCTATCAACTACACTCTTCAAGACCCCAACAGACTCGAATATACATACTTAGAAAGAAATGTTATTGGGCAATGTAACCAGTCACAACGATAGTATTCAGTCATTCTACATTACTGTGTTGAGAAACACAATGTAAGATTTTGTCTAGTAAACATAGTACCATAACAATGACATTACATTAAGTATATACTAACTTGAACCACTCCAGTAGATGGTCGGCGTGTCCGCCGTGTCGACACGCGACGCACCAGCTGAACCAGCCCCCGAACACGGCGACCCCCGCCCCCGCCCCCGCGC